ATACCACCTACAAAAAGTTACAATTAGTTCGCAACCGCCTGTATGACCGTCTGTGTGAAACAACAAATTGCGTAATTTCCCTTACGGCAGGGACGGTGATTGCATGAGCTCAGGTACGATATACCTGATCTCTTGTAACAATTGCGGAGATGAATATATTGGCGAAACGGGCAGACCTTTGTGTATCCGTATAAAAGAACACCTAGATGGCAAACGAAAACTAAGACGAAGCACCCCACTAGGCACGCATAGGATACAAAAGCATAGCGGAGACGATTTTGAAGTGAAAGTCAATATCCTTGCACAGGAGCCCAAAACACCAGCGCGAAAACTCCTTGAGGCTTTTTGGATAAATGCCAAAAAGCCTACAATGAATAGCAGGGACGAATGCCCGGAGGTCATACGCGACCTGATCCCGTATGTTCGCATCGATTTCTGATGTGGGATGGTGCAGTCGTCAACCATATGCGACTATAATCAGCTGTTCTAAACTTCCTCATTGGAAGTCACGAAAATGCGGTGGGTTTTTCAAGAAGTTGTTGTTCATGTAATTACCAAAGAGTTCTTCGTCTTTTTGTAAGTGTTATTGAAGCGTTTGGCCTAGTAGATTGTATATCAGTATACCCTTCCAGGCTCTGAAGAAGGCGATACTGCCGAAACGTCAGTTAGCGTTGTATTGTATTGTGTTTTTCTATGGAAGTAAATGTACGCTGTTTAAATGCCTCGCTATTGCTGAACAAGAAAACGACACATTCATATTCCAATGCCGAGGTTAATAGAAAGTCGATCCTGGGAACTTTTGTAGCATACCGCCAAGAAGCGCTGAAGCAGACGACTGGTATAAACTGGGCTCGAGTTGGTCTTCTTTACCCCCGCCATCGAGCTTTCGATGATGGTGCAGCTGATATCTGTGAGTAAGATCGGATTTTATTTTAGTAAAGGAACCGTTTTAGGTAACATGCGAAGTGACGTACAGTTTCCCACCAGTTTTTTAAGCATAAATAGGATCTACTCACTCGTTTAGTTTCTTACTTGGCCTACAACCGCATTCAGCTATTTGTGGCATAAATAATGCACGCTTAGCAGAGTGTTTAGAGAGAGATTCCTTACAGTACACACATGGTAACAGGTTCGAGTTTCTAAAATCCTCATACCTTCAAGATCGTCTATTTGTTAATAGACTTATCTAGGAGAATAAAAGCACTGATGTGGTACATTAGTAGGTTCCCACAGTTTTATGCTAAATGGTATCAATATCAATAAGGAATAATATCAATCAATAAAATCCACGATGGTAAGCATGGATTTGAACGCGCGGCGCATCTCCTAGAGAAACATAATCACCAAGCGTTCTATCCGCTGTCGTTTAGTAGTAAATAGGCTTTTTATGACAAATAAGAATGGCTATGTTAGCCTTTTATTTTCTGTCTACTACAGTTTTTCACGGCAGGGTGTGATGTGAATTACAACCAAAACGATGCAGAGATATTATTTCGACTAAAGCCTCTGCCTAACTGGTTTCAGTGTCGCTTTGTGCTCCAGATCAATCTCGTTGACGTGTGATTGCTGATGGCAGCGATAGGTAGAAAACTAGTTGAGAGAAACGCAGAGCAAAGGCCTCCTTCGTGCGGTGTGTAGTGCATTAAACCCCGGAAAGGCAAATTGTGCTTCAGTTTGGCTCGAGGTCCTAGTTTTGCGAATGTCCCTCGTCGTCGTGGTTGTAAACAACAGTCACTTAACTTTAATGCAGTTTGGTAGAGTGTTGAATATTTTTCACTCCATCTCACATATTACAGTTGGGAATTTCACACGAGCTCGTCGAGGCCATTGGTTATGGGGATGTATTTTTGGACCGACTGATTCGAAATCCTTCGAGGAGGTGGATCGAGAAAAAAAGTCACAGGCGCGCAGTATTTTTTTAGTGCAGTATGACCTTGTGATGAACCAAACTTACTTTTCGACATTCAAATGTCTTTTGAGCTAAAATTTGCTATCGTTTTTTAAATTGTGCCTTCCCTGGTTAACTTTGTGATATTCGAGAAAAAACATTTTATATGCACTAAAAATTCAGAATCTTGTCTTCGCTCAGTAAGAGAAAATCCCTCTTATAGATAAAAGCTCTTTAAATTCTAATTGATTTAATTCAAGTTAGTAAAATTCACTAAAAGGCAAGATATGCCTGCTTAAAATTAGAAATCCCATTTACTCACGGGCCGGCCCCGCATTAATACCAATGCATATCTGGTGTTGTGCGTTAAAGCATAAATAGACGACAACAGTAAATGTATTGACAATAGTCGGTTGTAGGTCAACTTAGAAGTCGTAGATACACCACAGATGCTTCTCGTTGACTGAAAACATGGCATTTTCCTTCATGTCCAGACTTTAGGGCTTCTATATGGACACCGCTATAATGGAAGATGCAAAACAAAATGTTGAAGAAGTAGCTCAAACTACTGGAAGCGTAAGGGTTCCAGAAAATGCAGAGAACAGAGTCGCTTAAACAGCCATATTTTCCAAACGAGCGTAAAGTCTGATCAAAGCGAAAAAAAAGAACATGAAACGTTCCAATCTCATTTTAAAGAACTGTCAGATTCTGGAAATAACCTACAACTCGACTGCACTTGTTTTATTTTGTGTTTTCGAAATAAACGAAATCGCATTTGATGTTGTTCTGCTAGTAACTCGTCCACTTGCCGTAACTAATTCTGAAATTGGTGTGAATGTAGTTAGCGAACTGGTATACTGGAGAATAATCTCAAGTGAATTTGTGCTCTGTTGACTTTCCACTTGACTGCATTATGATGCGTAATAAATATTATATAAGCATTTTTGAACACTCAATCGAACCACTTTGTTCTTAAACAAGGCAGTAAGAGATTCTTAAATAAACCTTTGTCGAACGTACTAATGTATTACCGTGGCGCGCTAAATTTCCTAGGCTTTGTTTTTCGCCTTTTTCACATCGACATCGGAGCTTACAGCATTCGTAAGATAACTTTGAAAAATCGTTGATGGACTGGTAGTCGACGACGTCGTCAAGCTGGGAAGGAACCACCATCTTTGACAAGTATCGCGAACAGTTGGTCTACAGCTTTACGGGTGTGCACCACTCTTAAAGATAAAACCAGGTCCTCGACGGAACAGCACGATAAGCTGCATTTGCGAGTGAGAACATTCTTGATATACTTTCGTGCCAATCGATGTGCGATAAGACAATAGGTGCCTTTTTTGTTCACTTGAATGACGCGGCTTCGCAATGTCTGCTGACCGCGGCGCTTTTTTCATTTGTCTCGTTATCTTGCACACGTTACTCACAAAGATTTTCGGCTTTGTGTGTGCGTGTGTGTTTCACAGCACCTCGAAGATTTTGGTTTTCATGAATGTTACTGAATGTTGATCAAAGTCATTCATCCTAGAATCCAAGACAGGCTATCGGTCTTTGTGGATTGAAGGGAATCTTTCTCAGAAAAGCATGATACCATTCACCAACCCTTGAATGATCTGAGGCTTTGCTAACACGAGACGTAGCTGGACCTGAGACTCTGCATGTAATTCTACGGCGCCTCTAACCACTACACATCCCACACCTTTGAATAGGTAACACACTAATATAATCTGATGAGACTTTGGTCCTACTGAAATAGAAGAATCTATAAGGATGATTTTTCCTGGTGGAATATTTATTAACGTTGTTAGAACAACTTTTAATGAAGGGAATCAAAACATAAGAAGAACTGTGTGTAGTGACATATATAGAATACTATAGATCAGTGTAAAGAGAGAAAATCGTAAAAACATCTTTAGTAGTAAAATAACGCAAAAAAAAACGAAACGCTGGTGGTAAAATATGGAACAGTACGAAGTAATCTACACTTCGTATAACTAGGATTAGATCTACATGGAAAAGAAGAAAAAAGGAGAAGATCTAAGACGATTTCTGAATTCGTAGTTCATATGGAAGGTACGTTATGCATTCGTCCTGCTGTTCAGTGCACGCAAGATAGCACTGTTGTTCGTTCCTGTACTACTGTGCACTCTTTGCTCACACACCTGAAGCATTACCGTTCTCGAGCTGTGCAGTAAGAAATCAGTATATCACACAAATTTCGAGCTATTTGAATCGAAGACAAACTAACAAGAGAAATTTTTTTCGAGAAATCAACTAAGAGAACTTTTGTGGAAAGCTGACATGTTTATAAACTAGTTTCTAGCTAATAGATAGTGACGAGTTCTCCAGTGGAAGAAACAAGCAAACAGAAAAGGTGGATATTTCCACGGTTTCCATTTTTCTACGTGCATATCGGGTCATAACGTTGTGCCAGATCAAAATTAGGTCTCCATAATGTTCGTTCCTAACTAGTCCGATAACCTCGTATTAATAGTTCCTCGTCAGATTCATTTATGACTACACTTATTAACCAAAAATACTTCTGAACCTTCTGTGATACAAGTTATCCTCTCAATGGTAGCTGTATTGATAGTGCATCTTTCCCAGTAATACTGTGATACCCATAAGTTAACATATAGTATTTATTGAGATAAATCCTTACCGAAGTGCCCTGACGCATATCCAACTCTGTTTTGATGTTTTTCGGTCGACAGACATGACCCGAATATACTGGATCTTTGGTAAACCAGCAATCATCCACAACCTAGAAGGGCGAGTTATCAAGTCGGGTTTATAATCGCGAAACTGATGTAATTACCTAGTATTAAAAATTGTTAATTTGCTGAATGGACCATAAGTCATGGGACCATTTGTAGTTTCTATCACGAAGGTTAGTTGCTTACCTCGCCTAGAACATACTTTTTCTTTAGAAAGCATCCTTCACACAAATAGTGCGACTTTCTGCCATCTATGAGTTCACAACGTACGTACACATAGCAGAGGTCAGTGGACGGGATGTGATAGAGCACGATGGGATTGCTTTCTTGAAAGATAGGAATGCCCAGGAAGAAGGCCGAAGTTTCGAGAGATGGACAATAATTGTTGTTCATCAGTGAAGAGACCTGCTTGCTGGTAGTGTCATTCTGGAGAGAGTTGTTAACAGGAAAGTAATTTTCTTGAAAATGTTGGGGAGGATAATGATTTTCTTGAGAGTTACCGATACCATAGTAGCTTTCTTGCGATGGCTTTGGAGCAACGATGTCACAATTAGGGTCGAATGGAAACATCGGATCAACACATGACGGCTCAAAGTAGCCTTGTTCGAGAAATCCTGGTTGAGGATTGCTAGGAAAGCAAACTGGTTGAGGAACATGATGAGCGCCATGCGAGTAGTAGTGAGGCCAAATCCATGTGCCGGATTCGAACGGATGCATAAAAGATGTACGGGGAATTGTTCCACTGATGAATCGATGACAAAAGGTACCATCTCCGGTCACAGTGGTACAGTAAAAGCTGCTATGAAACATAGTCATATACATGACGACTTAACAGCAGGAAGTGTAGACAAAGAATAACCTCCGTGTCAAAGAGTTTAGCAGAAACTGCATGTCTCGGAGGTATATGTCATTGCGGGTCAGCACTCATCGTTCAGCATTAATTAGACAGGGTCACACTTCGAGTACTTACGGGCATAACAAGTAGGGCGCTATGGAGATGTGTTTCTTCCCGCTTCTGCAAGCAGCCCACTTCTCGGTTTACTTTGACTTCAAGAGTTTTGCCGTCGGACCGAAGTGAAATGGTACTTTATCGCCGTTCTTCTTTTAAACAGAATATCATGGAACAGAAGTAAAATTAAATTGGAGAACATAGTGAAAAAGTAAGAAAGTCGGCAAAGAAGTGGTAAGTATGAACTTCTCAGGTCTTCAGTTTATCTAATACCAACATTCATCATAGTAACGGCAACTCAATCATCTCCATATTTGCCCCGCTAATAAAACTCTGATCTATCTCGCTGTACAAATTAGGTTATTATGAGAAGTGCAACCACAATGATGCTGAGATCTAATCCAAAGACCTGACATAGACACAGTTACCGCCCATAAACTCTGTGCTGCTGCTATCCATCGACTAATTTAAATACTTACAACAAATAAACGGTAGCTATTTAAATGAAGCTGTTTCTTATGCGAATACAAATTTATTTGTTAAGTTTTATCTGTTGGGGTTATGGAAGTGTTTGGCTGAGTAGATCGCATCTCAATTTGACCTTTCCAGGTTCTGAAGAAGGTGAAACCGCCGAAACGTCAGCTATTGTGTCCTAATAAATCCTATAATAACAACCACGTGTCTGCTTATTGAAGAAAAACATCGAATTACCAATCAGTGCCGAGGTTAAAAGAAAGTCGGTCGTGGGAGATGCTGAGATGTTTGCAAAACTTGGATCTTGGGCCAGGTTTGAACTCACGATTACTTTTTTCGGCGGCTCACGTGTTACCTACTGCACCACCTACTTGCTTCGCCTTTCTTCACCCAGTTTACCATGTTAACGTTTTAGTTTTTTCAACCCCAAGTGTTTTTACTAGCCCGCTATTACCGCCTTTCTATATTAAAGAAGTGCTAGAGAAATTTACAATTTACTGAGAGTTTTACCAAACCTGTCATGAAGTCAATTCTATGTATCTTGAAAGAAGTTGATGACTGACAGATATACAGTCAGCAGAGTATCGGGGGAGCCCAACAGCTACGTCCTGAGACCTTGACAAAGATAGGATTTTCTTAATAGTTGCCCTCATCGGTAGAGTGACAAGATAGCAAACCTACACATCCAATCCACAATTGCCTTTATTTATTTGCCTTCATCTTTTGTTTCTTGGCATCCAACATCCGCGAAGGTCTTTGAACTTTTCGGATGTGAATTCAGTTGTTGCTGGAGGGTTAATGTGTTCGTTATGAACGTCATTGAATGCCGGTTGAGTCGATTATCGCTGGAGTCCTGTCATAGCAGAATGGAGCACTACAGCTTGGAAAAGAGGGAGTGAATATTTCCGAGACAACTGTGGTAGCAATTCCCCTACCGTGACGGGATAATAGGATCGATGATCCCAGAGCAGGGTCGGACCAGCACATTGCTCTTTGTGATCGGCATCGCCGTCACTGCGCTACTCACCACATTCTTCGAAATTACGAATAAATGTTTCTTGCTTGCGTTGTTGATTCATACCGTTTTAAAGCTTAATTCTTGCTGTTTATTTTCTATTTTCTGCCTTCTATTACTTTTATGGCAGAATATTAAGCGAAATACAACCACAAGATTGCTGAGATATTTGCAAAATTCCGGACCGCAGGTGTCTACGGTGGGGAACGAACGCGCTGTTGTCCTTTCCGTGGAGAAACGCGTTCACCACCACACCATGAGGGTCTTTCCTTTTGCCTGTCTCTCAGCTAGTTCTTTATATAAAAAATAAACATTGTGAATTCAACGGTCATTGAAGTTCACAGCATCATTGAAGTTATATTTCGCAATGTATACCCTGCCGTTAAAAAGAGTAGGCAGCAAATAATAAGTTAAAATTGTGAATTCAACTACAGCCTCAGCTTAACTGGGTTCAATACCGATGTGGGTTCCCCAGATCAATCCCGTTGACGGATGGTTGTTGACGGAACAGATCGATAGAAAACTTATACTAGTTCCATTCGCTTTCCCACGCAACAGCAATTTCTCTCTCGATTAAGTCGTGTCGTTTCATGGAAAGTAGGTCCTACACGATGTTCAATTCAGTGATTGGACCTGAATGAAGATTTTTAGGACCTTCGAACCAATTTCAAAGGAAAGTTGTGATGAGGATTTGATGGTGCATTCCTCCTTGCTACCGGAGTGGTCAACTATACAAGGATAAAGCACCTGACGTTGAGCAATCCCGAAGGAATGTGCCGTGCATTCGGTTTTATTGAGCGTCAGTGAATGCATATATGGTCCATGCAATAACCTGCGGTGGCATATTGATGGATCGAGTCAGTGTTGCCATCCTCTCAGACGAGTCTGGTGCCAAGTTGCCGAGCCCGAAAGCGTGAAAGACTTGATGAGCAATGGGAGCGGAATCGAACCACTGACCACATGTGCACTGCAAGACTCGTCTAATCATAGCGCTACACGTGTCCAGATATAGTTAGATATAACTTTCTGAATTGTTGCGAAACCATTACGACACAGACTTACTGTTACTCAATGAGATGAATCACAGCCTGCTGAATGCAGCCATATGGTCAAAGGAAAAGATCTAATCCTCTAGTACGACAACACCAGTGGACACTGGGAGACTAAGTTGAACGAACTTGATCGCTATGTTCTGCATCATCCAGCTTACCAATCGAACCTCACTCCAATCGTCCAGCATTATTTCACCCATCTTGAGATAGGGCGCGTGTGGCTCGGTGGCCGGAGGCGTCCTGAGACGGACACATAGGGTCGATCCGCATGGCCCTGGCTCACCAAGCCCACCATCCTCTCGGAGTTGGCAAGCTGGTACCAGAATTGTCTGCGAGGGTAGCAGCACTGGCTCAATACATCGGCTGGCCACATTGAATCATTGTAAAGGCCGAATATGGATTCAGCGATGCCGAATGAAATCGAATGTATGGCGCATCCTTCAGAGATTGATCAAGGCCGAGAGCTTTTCCTTTTTTTGTCCTTTATCTCGACCCCTGGAAAAGGAAGAACCTAGAAGGTCATCGTTTTCAGAACATGGCAAAAATGTGTGAATTCTAACGGTTCTTTGATTTCACTGATAGGCTAGCACGAAGTTGCTACTAGATATTTATTCGGCTAACGTTGAGATCTCTTCGTCTTCCTAACAAGTTCTAATGGTTCTGATCCTCATTAACAAAGTTCGTTTGCCCTTAGCCGAGCTATAATCATCATGTTCTCAGCATCTTTATTTTATCACTCAGAAGTGCCAATATTAAATCTTAGCAGGAAGTCCTTCTCATGCCACATTCCTCATCTCACCTTGTTACAGCTCCAATGTTTCGACATTGGAAAGGACTAGAACAGCAACCAGCACACTTTAGATTCGTCAATCTCCCACTGAGAGTACAAGATCCTAGGAACAACTTCTAATAAGGAATAGGGGTTCCAGCAGAGATGTCTATCGTTTAAATGAATCACTTCGTCCTTTTTCTTACAAACTTTGCATTTCCCCGCCTGCTTCTACATAATAGACGTGACGGTGCGCGCTGTACGCATTACAGACCACACGTCGAATCCGATTTCCTTCAATTTTGAGTGCATTACTGAGTATTATTTATGTTAGTATTTAGTAAATGAAAGTGTATATTTCCACATGTTTTTTCTTGTATTGAATAAATTGCGGTGACTTTGCTGACATGATGCTATTAAAGGTGAAATTCCATACACCGCTCACCATCTGTTCATCAGACTTTAACAAAATGTTTGCAGGATGGAACTTCAGTGTAGCATAGAGGACTGCACTGCTGTGTTGAGTTTGAGAACGCCACTAGGTTCCGGTGACCAAGGTACGTTCAAGTGCACTGATTCAATCCTTTTCTAAAGTTTTCATTTGGAAGGTTTTCATTCAGGGCATGTGGGCTTGGAAGTGGTAAGCCAAGACTATGATCCTAAAATTGAGATATTAAACTGGTTTGCATTTGGAGTAGAGTTAATGTGGAAATTTTTCCAAAATTAATGCATTGGTACCGCTGCTCGGTTATTGATAATGGAGGACCATTTCTACACTAATAGAGTAGTGAGTAGCTTGAGAACCTTTGCTTTACCGCCACTTTAAGGGTGTTTTTAAAAACATTCCTTCGCTTTTTGCCTTGCCTGAAGTTAAGGTTGCCAGAGAACTGTAAGCGAAATTTTAGTTCTTAAGATTGTCCATGAACGCGAGAACTCAAACGGCCAGCAATGGGTTGATGAAGATAATGTTTTGCTGGTCTGAGTCTCCCTTGTTTGGTCCCTTTCGTATGCAGAATTTAGTGCTTAGAAAAGGCTGGAGTACATTTCGTTTGCTACAAAGAATAAGAGTCTTACCATGGTAGACAGGGAAACTTATTTGGTTTAAGAAGATATGTTGATTCTACTGTCTTCTCGTCAAATGCTGAACTGCAGTACGAGCTGAAACGCGTTGATTCAAATTTGAAGCGGCCTTTGTTTCCTTATCGTACGCATCGAAATCAATACGTTTCGTCGCAAATGTGTTAGATGTTTTTGTAAAGGAAAATGTGAGATTGTGCCATGCAGGTCCTTTTACACCTCTCGTCACTTCTCGCAAAATTCTTTGCTTCTTCCTACTTTTTAAAAATTTGTCAGACCTTTCGTTGTTCCAAGACTATGTAGTTGGTAATGATGAGATAGTGCGAATTTTACAAATTAGGCCGAATTCCTAAATTACTGTTCTTAATACCACCTTATTGTTTCAGTTTATTGTTATTGCAGTAGACGCACAAATAGTCACTTTAGAGGTGAGGGAAGTATTCATACAGTTGAAGGGTCCGGATGGAGAACAGCTGTCAGAAATCAAGGTTCCGTGGCCCGATGATGAACCCGAACCTTCTGAGGTAGAAGTAGCTTAGATTTATTGCTGGAAATTTTGATCCACATAGTATCACGGAATATTAGTTTTATTATTGCATTGTTTCCTAGTTATTTGGTTTCAAATCAGTCTTGTTTTTAACTCAAAACTGCATATTGTCGGCATTCAAAAATGAGGATAGTTGTTCTTGAAGATGGTGAATAGCAAGAGCAAACACATGTTACAAATTTTAGATTAAATATGTTGATCCTGAAGAATGTATAAAACTGACAAATAACGCCACATTAGCAACTGTTCCAATACGGTAAATTTATATTCTGGTACTTTTTGATATTCGACAGCGATTATAGAGTTTCTACCAAATCTCTAGGATATCCAGACTTCGTGAGGTTTTGTCTAACCTGAGGCCAGTAAGTCCTCCAAGGCGATTTGCTTGTTTCTCGAATCCACCGTGTCCCGCTAATGATTCTGGTCAGGGGCGGCTTTACTCCGCTCTTAAGAAGTTTGTACGAGAGCCGGTAAGTCCTTTGATTTTCTATGTTTAAGTGTTGTACTAAGTAAATTTAGCTTCATTGGTGTGCTTTTTATGCAGTCGGACGAATATCCCATAGAAATTTGAGTTTGTTTTTATTTTGAAATTAAAGTAACTTCTGCCGCTATTTGTATTAAGTATTGTATTTTGGCTAAAAGTAATTTTATGGTTACATAATTAGCGTCTCCTAATTCCAGCTAGCAGATGGGGCATGGGAAGAGGTTTTCAAATGTCTTTCGGCGAAAGGTGCAAATGCTGATGGATTTTTGACAAAGAATGAACAATATGCCATTATTCATTTTATACCAGTGAAGTTATTCACCCCTAAGGAACTGAGAAACATCTTTGAAACTCTTAAACGGACGAACGTATTTGGCCCAAGGTTTGTTTCGTAGCGATCATTTCGGTTTTCATTTGTGATAGAATTTTGTTCTTTTCAGTTGCCTAGGAGATTTCTACGAATTGTGTTTGAGCTTGGAGCAAACCTCCCTTGTGCGCTCTGTGATCCAGTCAAACGATGCCCTTTCGGAAAAATGTCTTGCGGCCTTCCTTAATTTCGTGGCGTCGTACGTTTGTTTTGTGCATATTTTTCATCCTTGTAAAAACATTGTTCTACCCGGATTTCTGTAGTTTCGTGATTACTCCAACTCTTGCTTTTCTGGGCACGTAGGTTATATGTTTTAGTGTTTTAGTGTTTTACTTAGTATTTCATACTTAGACCGTCCTAGTAGAAGTAGAATTTTTCGTCATTTATCCTCAAATCTGAAAAAAATGCGTTTTCTTAAAGCGTCAATTCTCCTTCACTATAGGTTATGTAGTAATTCGACTGAGAGATTTATTAATGAAGCGGAACTAATTAGCTCTGCCAAGTATGAGGACAATTATCATTTAGGAAGAGTGGGATATGTCTTACGTGTTAAAGTAAGTCTTCATACTCTGTCCAAGTGTTCATTATTTCAGTTTGCTTTCCGCAGAGAAACCACGGCGAGGGGATAACGAATTGCTAGCTTGTCTTCTTCAGCGTCAGTTCGATCCTCGTCGACTGAGCGATGCAACTGCTCGGAAAATTACTACCCAGCATGCGTCAATCTTATTGCGTGCGTGTATGGATATTTATGTCTTAACGAAATGCAGTTTAGTCGCTGAACAAGTGAGTACTATACGTTACAAACATCTGAAGAGTCTTTTACATGAGCTGCACTTAGTAGAAAAACTCTCGGCATTGATCAATCCCTGAGGAATGCGCCATGCATTCGACTTCATTAAGCTTCATTGGAGGTGATTGAAAGCATATGTGGCCTTTACAATGTCTCACGATGGCCTAGCGATGTATCGAGCCAGTGCTGCTATGCTCCCAAACAAGTCAGGTACCAATTTACCGACTTCGGAGGGATGGGTGGCTGGGTGGGTCTGGGGCGCGGGGATCGATCCTATGTGTATTGCAAGGCGCCTCCGACCACTGAGGCACGCGCGCCACTAGCTGCACATGCAACAGTATTCTGTTTTTTACAATTATGTATGTTTTGGTTTTGAAGTTATATGGCATTTACTGCCACAAGATTTAGCCATAGTGATGGTGTGAAGTTTGCAAAATTCAGGCCACAGGATGTGACGGGTTTTAATCTGGCATGGTATTTGAGTTTTGCAAATGTTTCAGCATCATTGTGATTGAATTTCAGGTAGTACGCTGTTATAAAATGATATTAGGCAGTAAGTAAACAGTAATACATTGTCACAAGACTATTTCAAATCGCAACACAGCTTTTTTTTTCTGGTCCAACTAGAACTGGTGATAATTTTGTCTTCATACAATTGTGATTCCGTTCCTTTTCATTTACGCAAATTTTGGATCTAGAATCGAGTTGAAGTCGTTGCTGTGTAAAGAAGAAGACAGGCAACTTGTTATCTCGTTTGTATCCTTTCTAATTTGTAGCTAAATCTCCTTTTTTTTTCAAAGTTTTGAGTAAACTAGCCGTTGTTTGCCATCCTATATTTACGATGAAAGATATATTAACTAACAGCACCAAAAGTTTATTAAAGCGAGACGAAGGACTTGCATAGTGTGGTGGTGAACACATTAACCCTCGGTAAGGGTAATAACAAGGTTCGATCTCCGCTGCAAACTCCTGTGGTCCGTAGTTTTGCAAATATCATCGTCATCGTAGTTGTATTTCACATCAACGCCAAGAATAAGCAGTGGACAAAATGATTACAAATTCTATCAGTTTTTTTTTTAAAACTTGGAATGTCCATTTAAGGCTCTATTATTGATGTGTGTCCTGACGGACACCTTCGGAAACCGAATAATTTGGGAAAATGATTTACACGGTGTTGCAAAGGAAGCAATGGAATTTTCTGAAAGAATGGTTAGTATTTAGCAATCATGGTTCCCCGATTTGTTTTATGCATTCATTTTTGAACTGAAGTAAAAGTAGTCGTTTATTAAGTCCAACAGTGATAAATTTTTTAGTCGGATATCATGTCTTCTTTCAAGCAGATTGACATAGAACGCACTAAGATTATTAAGGCTGAAGAAGAGGACTTTACACTATATAAAGTGGAGAAGATTTTATTACCCTGTCGACCGCTGAACTGGTGATATTTACTGTTGCTTCCCACTTGTTTTTATTTCCATAATCCTTGTTAACGTCTCATTTATAGTCTATTGTGATTCTCGTTTACTCACTTCTATCAGCCTGGCTTTGTTTTATTTTAAAATACCAATTTACACGATTGAGATTGATTTGAATTCCTGACATGCGTGTACGGCAGAAAGCCAGTCCCACTAAATTGTTATTGCCTTGCTGTTTTGTTATGATCAGGTGTTTTTAATGTTGCCATTTGTTTTAGGTATGAATTTCCTTTGTCCATTTTATCGAGATTTATGATGAACTCTTTGGCAACGATGCGGTTACATTTTATGACATTATAATGCACACACTATGAACACATAACGCCTCGAAAACTCTCTGGTTTTCGGTGTTCCTGTTTCTTGGGGCAGAACGGAATTCTGGTTTCGTTGGTTTTCCGAAAATAGCTATAGATGATAGCTTTTCGATAACTAAAAGTGTTGAGGGGTCGTGAACATTACAGTACTGTAGAAGAGACTTTGCTGTATTGTTTTATGAGTATGAGAAGGAGACCTGGATAGTGCCACTTGTTGTGCGCTCATGGTCCGTCAAGAAAACATGCTGTCAGCACTTGGAAAGTACTTTGCGAGTTATGCTATTTATTACGGTGTTTTCATGCCAGCAAATTCTATAAAACTATCGGTTGATAACTCTGGTTAACAGCCATAGCGATTACAATTGAAATAATGTTCAGCTGCATATCAACTTTCAACGATGAACCATTCAAGGAGTTTTTTGTATATTTCGCCGTTGCTCACCACAAGGTCTGCGTTGGGTAAGCTATCCATCGCCTACGAAGAGTGTTAGGGGAGATTGTGCAAGCGGAAAGAAATGGTCAGAAGAGGGATGACGTATACATGGCTCATACCGGCCATTTAGGAAGCCGTATCTAATTGTATAGAATGCACAGCATCCGTTATCTGGTACTGAAAATTATGGTGACTTACAGAAAAGAAAAGGAGGCCCTGATGTAAAGCTGATCCGTAGAGGTATGAAGTATTTGACTGTGCCGTATTTTTTTGTGGATTTATGAGATGCGAATTCCTATACTTGAGTTATTAATATATTTATTTCCGTTGTTTTCATAAATGCCACCATTTGCGAACTTTAAAGGAAGAATGTTTCGCGTAGAGTAGATATTTGGAAATAGAATTTGATAGAACTTCTGTCGCTCTTTTCTTGTGCGTTAGTGCCCTTAGGTAACTCAAAATTTTCAGGACATAAAACTGCAGATTACGATGCCAATTTTTCCTCGGAGTTGTAGTGCAACGCATATCGACAAAGATCACGGTAAGAGATCCATGAACTTGTTCGTCGATCGATAATCCTGGTGGTGATTAATGTGATTCGGAACTGGTAGAGATAACCACATTCCAAATCAGTTAGTATCAGAGAGCGCGCTTGAGTGATCTGTAATCAAATGTCGTTTTTAGACGATATTGTTCAGACCACTTGAATACTACTGTAAACCATCATAACCACAGAACTGATAATCTTATTTGCGCTAAATGAGTCCTTTCAGGGTGGATAAATGATAGTGAACTAAAGGCTTATCCCTTGTTCCTACTATAAGCAACGCAATAAGAAATAATCAGGTAAGTCGTCCCTCGCAAAGAAGACTAATATAAATCCTTGAAAATGTCCTGTCTAACAAAATCTGACTCAACCTGGCTCAAAATCCAGGTGGGATCATGTAGGTCGTCAATATCCGACATGACTCGGTGCTCCAACACAGCGAACGCGCTATCGACAGCGTGGTTGGCCGAGTAAAGAAAAATTATTTTGGCAGTAATCCGGGAGTAGGTGACCAGTCGTCCACAACACACAGCCACAGAGACTATCAGTCCGCGGTCTAAACATATAAGCTAAATGTGAATGAAATCATAAGAAGGCTATTAGCTTAGAGAGTATTGCAAAAATTCGATATGTTTACTTACTGTATTGTTTCCCCAAATGTAAACTTCTCCATTTATTAAAAACAATGTCTGGTACTGTAGTATTTGCACCTGCTTTATTATTGATCACTCCTCGGCTGTTATAGAACGAAAGACTCTACGAATTGGCTTTTTTTCATTACTGGTTTTATTTTACATGACCACTCTTCACATATACTGTATGGAACCCATCACTTCTTGCAGTTGATTCATTTCCTCGTATCCATTATTCACGAAAGTCTCCCAACTTTTACATATGGATTCGGCGCTGCTTCAGGATTTGGCGTCTTCAAGAATATGGAATGCTGGTCGAGTTGATTTTCCTTGAGGTCTTGGATAGTTGTGTTATAGGGTGTTCACGAGGGTTGGAACGAGTAAGCCGGTCTCAGATAAGTCCGATACCAATTTCCACACCCCAGAGGATGGGTCGAATGGTGGGCCTGAGTCGGGGTAGAGCTAGAGCCTACCATAAACTAAGCGTTAAAATATTTACTAAGTGGCGATTACTTAAGGAAAAATATAAAATGTAATATGCAGCGATAGATGTAAGTAGGGAAAAACCGCTGCGCAATATATTTGTAAAATTTTTAGAAGGAACGACTATTCCTTTTTCAACTACCTAAATAGCTGTCAAATGTCGCCTTTCATTTATCACCGTTAGAATGATGCAAATTCTTCAAAGACGAAGAGTGCTGAAATTCAAATAACTTGGGTGTGACGGGAATGAATATCGGTTAAAAAAATACCCTTCACTTCGTAAACATCGTATGCCAATTGTATTTCTGCATTTCTTTGTAGAATCAATGCGTCGATCATTAATGATTGTGGTGCCTGTTTCCTAGTAAATAGGCCAGAAATACGCCGACATCGACTTTAAGGGCGTACTGCATCGTTTTTGGGTCCAGTGAAAGATCGGTACGTTCGGGTGCTAAAGCGCTGAGTGGAGAGTAAAGCGGTCTCAGATAAGTCTCCTACCAGGTTCCCAACTCAACAGGGATGTAGGGCTTGGTAAGCTCGGTGTGGGCTGGAATCGGCGCTGTTCTCATTATGAACGCCAACATTATCACCGCTCTAACCACCCTTTTTGCGAACTGCTAGGCTTTCAACAGAAAAAAGTCTCCTCATTTTCATTCTCTGCTGCATGGTAAAACTCTCCAGTTCTCCTATATAATTGAAGAACAGCCACGAATTTCCATCATAGGGGGATCTCGTGCCAGTTAATCATGAGGCTAAATCGAGCGCTCCCACGTGGGGAAAGTGTGTTCATTGTGAAAGAAAAGCGATTGTATGGTTCTCAGATACGCAGGAGGATCCATGTTATTTCTGTTGTTGTTGTTGTTGTTGTTGTTGTTGTTGTTGCTAAGCAAAATGCTAAGCACAGTAAAAAAAATTGCCTCATCCCTTGACCCCGAAAGAGCTCCAATTTCGCAGCGGTGGATGGGACGAGTATGGAGAGGCTGCTAAATCTCACGGCCAATGGAAGCTGCCTGGATTGCAAAGAACCATGTTGACGATCTGTACCTACAACAATTGCGTCCGAGTCCTCAATAGAAGAGTTGCTCATGCAAGCAAGAAAGATAAGGTACGACGTCATCGGCCTGGCTGAGACGAGAAGACGCCACCCTTTCAACACCGTCTATGACACCAGAGAAGAACTGTTCTTCGGAACATGCAACAGTAGACGAGTCGGCGGCGTCGACGTTCTCGTCAACATGAGTTTGTCCATGAACGCCGATTCATTCGAACAACTTACAACCCGAATCAGACATTTACGATTAAAAAAAGTGGATCCTTTGACAATCTTCGTCGTTTACGCGCCGACATCAAACTACGACGAAGAAAAAGTTGAAGCGTTCTGTATGGACTTGGAGAAGTTCTACAGAAGAGACCATACATTCTTTAAGGTCATCATTGGAGATTTCAACGCCAATATTGGACCAAGAAGAACGTCTGAAGAACGTCACATTGAGACCCACGGATTGGAATGGAACGAACAGGGTGAGCGGCTTTCTGAGTTTATCATGACGACCTAGACCATCCATGGTAAGTCGCAATTCCAGAAGCCCCGCCCTCAGCGCTGGACGTGGGAGTCTCCCAATAGAGAGTACCATGACGAAATAGACCATATCATAGTAAATAGGTTTTGCCTAACCGATGTCGCTGTTTTCCCAAAGTTCTGCATGAGACTAGACCATCTCCTCCTTCGAGCAAGATTTCATGATTTCATTTGTCGCGGAAAAGAGGAAAAGCCGCTAAACTCAAGAAAGGAAGTCTCACAACCAGAATAAACTGAAACGTGTTCAGTTCATTATTCAGCCGTTGGGAGGATGCCGTTTTGAGAACATCGACGGAGAATACGATCGGTTCATTCAATATCTTCACGCAAGCACCATGAAAACTGAGAATTCGAAAATTTCTAAGAAACGTCTCTCTCCGGAAACACGAGCTGATAGGCGAACTTGAAATCACACGAGCTACAGAAAGCCCGTCAACTCAAACTCACGTCTGAACTTGCAGAATAATGCAGACTGGCGATAAAAGAAGATCTGAAAGACAAAAGAGCAGCAATTACGGCCAAAGATGAAGAGGCTGGGAAAGCATTTTTAAAGCCCGCTGTAGCATCGCTATTTACAAAACTAAGACAATGGCACTCCGATGCACGGTCGGAACAATTACTGCTTCCAGAAAGGAAATGGAGAAAAATATTTACGATTACTACTCGGATCTCTTCACTAGTCACATCCTGATCTTCTCATACCAAATAAAGGAGGATGGATGTATTGTTTTTCCGGTCCTCCTATCCAAAATCCGATACTGCAGACAGGATAAGATTTAAATACCTGAACAACTTTCCGCTAGCGCTCATAAATACACTGGCCCGGTTCTTCACACGTTGCCTGTCGGAATGCAAGATTCCTATCAAATGGAAGACTAGCAAAACGGTGTTATTGTTCAAGAAAGCTGACCTCTGTGATAACGGCAACCTTCGACTAATCTGTTTGCTTTTTGTCATCTGAAAACCTTTTACTTGAGTC